CCCTCTAGAACAGGGCCTCTAGAATCGTGGAATGCACTGGGAGTTTGGCTTGGATGTGTGCCAAGGGCATCTTTTTCTCCCTCGCCTAAGTCTTCTTCTTCATATTCGTCGTCTAGAACGACTTCTGTGCCCATATTGTTAGGATCGATTGGCGCCTGGAGCTTCTTCTGGATATTCGACAGAACATCCTGAATTTGCTCCGATATGGAAACTTCGATGTTCACCTTGCGCAACCTTCTGCGCATAGGAGCTGTAGTCTCTGCCTGCTCTTCTGCGATAGCCTCTGCGACCACAGGTTCTGTGATCGCAGACTCTGTACGTTCAGCCTTCTTGGTTTTTCTTTTCTTAGGCTTGGGCAGAGGCACAGTTGGGCCCTCTTCTTCTGCAGGCCTCTTTTTCGCCTTCTTCATAGAAGTATCACCAACCTTCTGTGACTTCTTCTTCTTCTTCTGGCGTGGAGGTGATGGGATTCTAGGTCGATGCTCACCTCATCTCACCAGCCAGTACTGGCTCCTCCGTTCTTCCCTCTACTCTCATTTTGTTCACACTCTCACCTAGGGGAACTCCTATGCDTGGTGGGGTTGCAGGGACCGGTTCTGGTCGCCTGTTACCACGTCTGTAAGCTTTTCATTCTTCATGAGATAGATACCTGAGCATGGCTTTGAAGATTGGACGTGGGCTTCTGTAGCCATGCTCGTGTTCTGTTGGGTGGAATGAGCTAAACGGGTAAAGCCTTGCATTTGGCTCTACCGCAAGCAGCTTTGCGGCTAAGAGGTCGCCGAACACCAAACCAAGGAAGCGTTGTAGAATAAGATTTGGTTGGTTAACGTCTTCCTTGGCCTTCTGTTGGGCCTGCACCTTTTTCTTTTCGTCCTTTTGGCTGGCACATTTCTTTTTTATCAGGCCAACCATGTCGTCGAAGATTAATTGGGCATAGTCAAGGGGCAGATTAAAGTATATCCCATACATGATTGAAATCATGGCATGGGATGTTTGGTCGTGGCTTCCAACTTTGCCAGTTAAGCAACCGTTGATTATTGAGAAAAGGGTGTTCCAAAGAGGGGGTAAATTCTTACGCCTAAATTGGGTTCTTTTTGAAATGAGGGTTGCGTAAGAATGGAAATTCAGAAAGCTAATAAGTTCCTCATCTGAGGGAGTAGCAGCAAAAGAGTTTAGGTTTAATTTGGCAAGAGAGGGGAGGTGAAGAGCAGTTCGAAGGGTCTCAACATTCAACTCCAGTGGAACCAAAGATTTGTTCACTGGGTGAGAGGCATAACCAACAATGGTTAGCCCTGAGTTATCTAGGGTAGTTAGATAATCGCTAAGAAGGAACTGGGTGATATAGGTTTCTGATGTGAGGCGTGTGGTAGTTAAAGCGTAAAAAAGTGGATGATTTTTAAGAATGGAAAGAAGAGTATAAGTGGATTCGGGAAAACCTGATAAAGACGGGACGAAGAAGTAGTTGATGGGCTTCTTCACCAATACAATTTTTTCGTATTTGTTCTGAACAAAAGAAAGAGCGTGCGAGGTTAAAGCTTACGCCTGAGTGACCTCGTTGTCACTTGAGACGTTGGCGGACTGGGCAGATGCACTCGAAGAAGACATAGTGGCAGGTTTTCTTGAGAGAGAGAGAGAGAGTTGCAGGTTTTCTGGGTTCGTCTAAGAGTTATGAGAGCGTAAGGTTTAAAATGGGGGGGGGGGAAGAGGGTATTTATAGGTAGGGGATTTAAAAAAAGTGAACCGTCAAAGGTAATGAGTGACTTTGGGTGAAACAGTTCATAAAGTTATGACACGCCGTATTGGAAAGATGCACGATTGATGACGTGCGCTCCCGTTTTCTGACACGCGCGTGTGAGTTCTTACCCTTATCCGCAGAACCACGCGCACCATATCAATAGACGAGAACTATCAAGAGAGTTCTGTCAGAGGCCTAAGGGTTACAGAGCCTCT